GATGGATGTAGTAAAACTGGCCCTAGAGCCAAGCAAGGCTTTTTCAGTTTCATGGGGCACCCAGAGTTGTATCGCCAGGTTTCCAGAGGACACATCCAAATTAGACTCTCCCAGTTCTTGCCTGAGGAACATGTTAGTTTCCCATGGTAGGTAAGAGGGAGGCACCTTTGCTACATAGAAAATGTACCAGTCCTTTGTTTCTTCCAGTCTGTTTCAAGTGAAATTGATTCCTTCTATCACCTTTGGTTGAGACACCCTTCTTGTAGGGATGCTCCCTCCCCAAATCTCATTTTTAAAACTGATTCTGTATTGCCTCCCCCGTACCCCACCCCATCTCATTACATCTCTGAAGTGAAGTGACATTGATGGGATACCTTTGGAGCTGGGACATTATGCAAAACAGAGAAAAGAATGTCTCTTCTGTGTTTTGTTATTACTATTAGTTTATCCAGTTACCCAGATTACTTCTGTGCCATGTAGGCTATTCTCCTGGACAGTTGCCCTCATGGAAGACTATTTTTATATGATAAACAAAATGTGTGAATTCATTTCTGCTCCCTACTTGCTGACCAAGTTAGTTATTTCATCTTTATGGTCCTTAGCATCTTCATTTCAAAAATAGGAATCATAATAACTTCTTTGGATTCGCAGTCTTCAAACTTTCTGATCTCAGGGTCTCTATGCTTTTTTAAATTTAAATTTAATTTTTTTTAATTTTTTGATATTTGCTGATGGAGAGCATGCCTTTATTTTATTTATTTTTATGTTGTGTTAAGAATTGTACCCAGTGCCTCACATGTTAGGCAAGTGCTCTGCCACTGTTCTACAGCCCCAGCCCACTTGTACGCTTTTAAAAATTGAGAATCCCAAAGAGCTTTTGTTAATATGGGTTAAATATCAATATTCATCATATTTAAAATCAAAACAAAGATTATTGTATTCATTTTAAAATGAATTACTGTTACCATGGGTTCTTTTTTTTTTTTGAGTTATAGTTGGACACAGTACCTTTATTTATTTATTTTTATGTGATGCTGAGGATTGAACCCAGCACCTTGCACATCAGGCGAGCACTCTACCGCTGAGCCACAACCCCAGCACCCCCATAGGTTCTTTTATGAAAAATATTTTCCAAAATAAAATAATTAGTGAGAAGAGTAGTGTTGTTTTACATTTCTGCACATCTCTGTAATGTCTGGGTTTATAGAAGGCAATTGGATTTTCAGATATCCTTCTGAATTCAGTCTGATATTGTTTTGATTGAAGTATGTGGTAAAAATAAAGTTTTCCATAGATATGTACAGGAAAGGGAGGACTATTTCAATAACCTTTTTGGTTTAATATGGATATTCTTTGATTCAGCATTAAAACTCATTTAGTCATATTTTGAAGGTTAGTTGTAATGTGCCATCTGAAGTCATGTCAGTGAACTTTGTATATTCTATTATATTAAAATCTATTGATTTACCTTGCACTTTGAATGATCCTTTTAGCCACTTCATAATTGAGCATAGGAGGAATAGACGAACTCTAGATAGGGCAGAGGGGTGGGAGAGGAAGGGAGGGAGCAGGGGAAATAAAACCAAAAAAAGTCATAATTGACTATTTGGACAATAGGAGTTCAAGTGATACAGATCTTCCAAAAGTTGAATCAGTTTATCAAACCATATTAAAGAATCATAGCAGTTAATTATTTGTTTATTGATACCACAGATTGAACCCAGGAGAGCTTAACCACTGAATTACATCCCCATCCCTTTTTTATATTTTCTTTACAGACAGGGTCTCACTGAGTTGCTTAGAGTCTCACTGAGTTGTTGAGGCTGGCTTTGAATTCACTATCCTCCTGCTTCAGCTTCCTGAGTTCTTGGAATTACCAGGCATGCACCACTACACCTGGTCCATAGTTAATATTCGTAGTTAATATTAACACCAGTTTCACCTGGAGAGTGTTAAGTGCTAAGAAATTGTTAAGCTTGGAGTGGCAGATAACATGGTTTCCAAAATTCTAATTTTTGCTTTAAAGTTCACAATTACTATTGGCAGCAAATAGTGTTTTCCTGAAAATGATGGGCTCACTTCATTCTTTTCATTAACGTATCTGCCAGATGCTTAAGTCTGGGGGCAGGAGAAGTATTCCAGGAAAACAGTGGCTAGTCCAGTTTACAGTGCCAGCAGTTACACTCGTGCTTTCGGCATAGGGGAAGTCCTTCCTGCATTCTTCCCTTCCTGTTTGTCGTGGAATATCAAAAAGAGACTCAAGTGGAGATTTAATAAAAGTAATATTCAGCTGGGCATGGTGGTGCACATCTGTAATCCCAGGGGTGTGGGAGGCTGAGTCAGGGGATCGAGAGTTCAAATCCAGTCTCAGCAAAAGCAAGGTGCTAAGCAACTCAGTGAGACCCTGTCTCCAAATAAAATACAAAATACAGCTGGGGATGTATACAGTGGTCGAATGCCCCTGAGTTCAATCCTTAGTACCTAAATAAATAAATAAATAAATAAAAGTAATATTTATTACTGCTATCAGGGACATTCTTCAGTGAAACTGGCTTTGTGTCACCACTTTCACTTGTGCTAAGGGTACCCAAATTTTATTCTCCAGGCCTCTGAACACCTTAAAACTTCTGTAATGCAAAATGTCAAGGTCGTGGGGGAAAGGAGAATGTAATGTCATGGTGGTATTTTGACTTCACCAATTCCCTGAAAGGGTCTCTGAGACCCCAGCAGTCTGCAGGCCCCAAGCTGAGATCCACAGTGAGAACACATATGTAGCTGATTGCCAGCACTGAAGAGATAGCCTTTTCCTCCTGCTCTTTCTTGTTTGTGGTTTGTGGACTTGGTAGGTAGCTGGTCCACTGAGGCGAGCCTTTGGAAGATGGGTTATTTTTATGAAATCCCACTAGAGTTCTTTCCTGGCTCCATGGAGCCCCATTGCTTTTTCTCTCCCTGGGATGTTATGTTGAGGCTGAAAACAAACTTTGGTTTCAGATTGACTTACTACTGGCTTCTGTGCAAGAAGAACTGTATAATTCTTGCTTTTATTGTATGTTGCAGAGCTAGTAAATATATTTTAAAATGTGATAATTTCCTAATTCTTTTACAGCACTTTGGTTTCAGAGGCTATTTGGTTGTCTATAGCAGGGCTTTATGTGGCTCATGAGTCCATGAAATTTTACAAAATTTTCTGGGTTTTTTTTTTGGGGGGGGGGGTGAAGGAGAAGGTGAGTTGTTGGAGGGATTTAATAGCTTCAACCAAATTCTCAAAAAGTTTTCTGACCTGTCTTCCTACAAAAATAAAAACAAAATTTATAAAAGACTTCTTCTGATTGACATTTTTTGGGGGTATCATTTCCCCATCTATTGTCCATTTCCTGACTTAACTCTTTTTGGAAAGAATTTTGAAAGCTTCCTGGCCTGGCTCATCTTTTCTTTTCAGCCCCTTGGCACCTCTTCCTAGTCCACAGCACCTGGCACGTGCTCGTGCTGAAGTGTCATGCTGAAGTGTCGCTTCCCAGTTGTTTCTGAGAGTACCTTCTCATCTTTTTTGCCTTGCAAGCAGGCAGCTACCATGCATCTCATTTCCTTTATATTAAAAGATACAAGAGTCAGAGTTTGAATCCCTTCAGTGTACCCTTGAGTATTTTAGGGCCAGAGAATGCACTCACCTAAATTAGTGGGCTCCTTTTTGAACTATTGAGATGTATAAACTTGGAATATTTATTTATGCCTCATCCCTAAGATGTGTTTTTCTCCCACACATTCTTCAGTCTGCTTCTTGGAATCCAAGTGCTGTCATGGAAGCTGCAAGGCAGTCTGTTTAGTTCCAACAGTAGCAATTTTGGATCACTTTCTCAATTCGTGGGAGGAGTGTGGTGACTACCGCTGGCTGACAAGAAGCAGCGGAGGACTTGCAGCGTGGAATGTGTACATCTGTATTATAAAATGTCAGTCCCCCGCATGCACCCTCTCCTGGTGTCAGCTCTGCTGGGCTGCAGAGGAGGTACAGGGTTGTAGCACCCCTTGCAGCAGCAAGAATAGCCCTGATGGTGTCAGCCTCTCTGCAGTGAGAATTAGCAGGTTTTTCAGATGAAGCTCTGACTTATGTGGCTATTCCCCCCTTTACAAAGAAGTTGTTTTTTTTGTTTTGTTTTGTTTTTTTGGTTTTTTTAGCATGTGGTTTTAATTTAGTGCTGTCACAGTTTTTGAAAGAACTTTGGCTTATCTCATGCAACACACATACTACTGTCTAACATTTGGGAAGCCACACCACTCTTGTCCTTTAGGGGAAAGCAGGAAAATACTATAGCAAGAAAGAGGCTGAATTGACCTAGTTATGAAGAGAAAGCAGAATCATTAAGTTGAACACCGGTAAGGTGGGTGTGTAAACCAAACAGATCCAGTCATATTGTATTCAAGAATGTATCTCCTGCTTGCTAAGTTGTGTTATTTTTAAACTTAGCTTTCCTGACAGCTGGTGGATCACAGGGCACACTGAATTCTACTTCTATACTGTCCACTCTCTCAAGATAGAGTGTTGTTCCTCACATGATGTTTAGTGTAGATGCACCACAACACTCCATGAGGTCAAGTCTGCAATAAGATTTGTTTATTTCTGTGCCTCCTCAGTAGATGAGGCAATTAGAACATAAGATAATTTGACTTTCCCCTAAAGCTGAGTAACAGAATAGGTGGTGTTGTGTCCCTGGGTTCCAGGTCACGGTTGCTGAGTCAGAGCATGGTTCTTCATCTCTTTGGATGGTGCCCTTCATGCTGACAGGGCTCGGTGATATGCATGTATTCTTTGACCAACTGCCTCCTGAAGGGGGGCTGAATCTGGTCACAGTCTCCTTTGGGAAAATGCCATTTACCAGGGGAGAGTCAGGTAAGGTGAATCTTGGCTCTGCATTGTGACCAGATGGCCCTGTTATTGCATGATCAAATGTGCTGCTTCTCTTCTCTGTGTCTCTTGCCACTACAGTACCCTTTCTGTTTTTAAGGAAAGAAGGATTGTCGAAATGTGGAAGATGCAAGCAGGCATTTTACTGCAATGTGGAGTGTCAGGTAGGTGCTGGGCCAGCTGGCAAGGAGGGCCTTCTTTCCTCTGAAGATCAGGTCCCCAGTGTGTCCTCTTCATTGTCATGGCATTATGCAGCAGCCAGAGGACACATTGTGTGTGTGCTGCCCCTGGACTAACAGGCAGCCAGTGACAAGCATGCAAGACTGAAAACGAGGTGCAGGAAAAATGGGAAGGACACAAGGAAAAAACCGTATTAGGTATAAATAAGTATGAAACCAAGGTCTATGTTTTGCCCCCAAGGATGCCAGCAACTGGTGGAAAATACAGAGATGACAAATGGAAAATGTTAAAATGCTGTCTTTAAAAGTTACATTTGGGGCTGGGGTTGTGGTTCAGTGGTAAGGCGCTTGCCTAGAATGTGTGAAGCACTGGGTTCAATTCTCAGCACTGCATATAAATAAAATAAAGATCCATCAACAACTAATAAAAATATTTCTTTTAAAGTTACATTTTGTTGGCCATGGGTCTATAATTTTAGAAATCCCTATAGCAAGTTGGGCATGGTGGTGCATGTCTATAATCCCAGCCACCTTGGAGGCTGAGGCAGCAGTCACAAGTTTGAGGCCAATCTGAGCTATTTAGGGAGACCCTGTATCAAAAAAGAAAAAGGGCTGGGGATACAGCACCCTTGGGTTCAATCCTCAATACCAAAAGGAAAGCCAACAAATCTGAATCAGAACTCCCCACAGCGGCCTCCCTTACCCTCTACTATTGTAGGCCAGGCACAGCCTTTGATTAGGCAAAGACTGACATGCACTTGTACCAAGCCAGTGGCTGGGAAGCAGCCAGGGGGCCTTGAGTTCTGGAAGCTGGGTCAGACACATAAGCCCCCTGTGACAGATTGGGAAGGTACATGAGGATATTGGAGGAAGCCTTGGCAGGCTTTTTGAAGGGCTAAGAAGTTTTGGGGGACTTGGAAAAATGGGAAGGACACAAGGAAAGAATTACTTTAAAACCTTTTAATTACTTCAGAACCTTTTTTTAGTCTTACATATGCTAGTATGCATTGGGAATTTCTTATCTGATCCTCCTGAACTTTTTAAAACAGGGAACCTTTTACTCCACCTTGGAAAAGGCCAGTGCTATTGAAGAGTGGCTCTAAGTAACAGGGAAGATTTCTGCTATCTATACCTCTTCTTTGTTCTTCCAGTACCCAGAGTTATCCACTGTATACCTCCCCAGTCCCTCCTTCTCCTCTACCCTGATTACCCACTAGTTTAATTTTTTCTTTTCACCTCCCTATTCTTTTTGGCCTCTGAAAGGCCTCAGAGAACATTACTTAGCAGAGGGAGAGATTGCTAAGCCCTGGTGGCTCATCTAACAGCAGAGCTCCAATGACAGTGGCCCCTTGCCAGAGTGAAGCACATACAGGCTTGGGAAATGCAAAGTCCCTTGGCTTTGAAGACTGGGGCAGAGTCCCTTTGCCTGTGTCAGCCACAACAGGCCTCCTGAAACAGCCATCCTGTATGACAGTGAAGATAGAAATGAGGCTCATAGTTAAGTTTCGGGAAGTTCCTTCTAGTGAAGAGAAGAAATCATACTTTGCTCTACTGGCTGTGGATAGGATGCTTTATGCTGGCACTGCCTCGGTATTGTAGAGACCAGCAGGCCCTGAAAATTCATCGTGTGACTGTTTTTACATATAAATGGTGCCCATCTTGTTGACCTGTAGGAATCAAGTGATGTGACAGATATGAGGATTCCATATAAATTGTGATACTCTGAACAGATGTAAGAGGTTATTATAAATAATGATATAAAGTTGAATTTGTATAATTCAGTCTGGACTGAGGGTTAGCTTTATGCAAAGGATAAACAGCATACTTTTTTATTTAAGGGGGGGGGCTTATTTTTTTAACCTGTGAGAATGGCTGCCTCTAAGAACTTGAAGGTACTAACTATGTACATTAGGTGCATAATGATTATTATAAAATGAGCCTTCACTTCTCTGAATAACTGAGAACAGAGCATTAACACAGAACCACAGAATGTGTGACATGTAGCCATAGCTGTGGGTCTCCCGGGCATGCTCTTAAGCTGTATTCTGTTAGGCCTCTCTAGGTGGCAGTATTTTGATGAAATGTCATATTCCAAGTTGGGATTTCAAAATGCCCCTCATGATCCTCTAGGACTTAATCTACCAGATTTGCAGGCTCAGAAGCCTCATCTGTGGGCTTGCAATGGGGGTCCATCCCTTGGGGGAGGCTCAGTAACCAGACACTCCAACCTATATGTGCCAGAATGCTGTTATAGTGAGCCCTTGACAGTTGGTGCATTCTCCCTGGAGTTAAACAAGACCTGCAGTGGTCTTAAACAAGAATTGCAGTGGTCACATCATAATGAGACAAGTGCTCAAGTAGCTGGGAACCCAAGGATGGACAGGAGAGTTTAAGGATTTAATGTTCAAAGGCAGCAGGCTGAGATAGTATCCTTAGTTTCTGGGCAAAAACACCTTGAACCCTAGACAGTGCTTTTGCAATTCTGTTTTTCAGTGCTTCGGTTTAGTGTCTAGTGACCAGAGTACCCTCTTGAGTGGCAAGCAGTGACATAGCTCTTACACTCATTTCCAGAAGTGGAAGCCTGGATTTGACTTGTTTCATTTTTATTTCATCTATCACCCACTGCTGAAGGAAGAGGCTAATGGCCATTAGGGTTTTCAGTCTTTAGCACTGAAGAGTTAAGTAAGCGCAGGGCAGTGAATTATAATGAAGTAGAATGGGCATAAAGACTGAGTAAGAGGAAGTGCCTAGAAATGGAGGGAGGTGCCAGGGCTTCATTCAGGAAGTCATTAGGAATCCGGGGCATTTGCATTGATGGAAATATATTCAGGGTTCAACTTAAGGGAAATTTGGATGGGATCAAAGTGGAGGCGCTGCTGAAGGATAAAAAGCATGGCCCTAGACCAGAGCAGCTGTGAGGGTCATGTGAGGGGTTCTCTGCTTGAGAGAGCACAGCACTGCTGCTGCACAGGGGCCTTCTTCCAAGGCAACCCTGCCCCTTGGAGTCTGCAGGCAGCCGGTACCACATAGCAGATGTGGGGCTAATGGAGGTCACGCTGTTCAACCCAACATTATATGAGAACACTCCCGAGGGTGGTTGGATGACCCATCCAAGGTCAACAGGACCTCACACACCACTAGGGGATGGCTCTCCCCACTTCACGGGCATGTGCATGGAGTACTAGGGTACTGGGGACCACTTGGAGAGCAGGCCCTGTCAGAGGACACATCAAAGAAAGAGAAGTGGGTGTGAAAGGGAATAGCCTGTCCATTGCTGCTGTCTCGGTGAACCTTTCCAAGAATGCCAAGCCACCATCGGTTTCCTTCTCCTCAGAACAAAGCATCTTTAGGGACCCCTGTACTGGGTACGTTCTCCCGGGCCTCCTTTCTGTCCACAGCACTTAGGACTTTGGATTGTTTGCTGTACTTGGTTCTGCCTCGTTGGATGGTGGTTTACTTCCCTCTGAGCCACTTGACCCCATCCAGTGGTGCCAGAGGGAAGGTTCAGTGGGTGATGCGTAGAAACGTAACAGGAGGAAATATAGAAGACACAGAAATTGCTTTTTAGGTAGGCTGTTATTTTACAACCTGTGTGTTTTAATGAACTATATTTATATTTTTATAAATATATCTGGAAAGCTACGTTATACTGTTCACTCTGACTTGTTCATTGAGTTGTACCATGACACATTCAAGAAAATGGTTTTAGGAAATTTTTATATAAGGTAATCATTGTGCAATAGAGCAATCTGGAAAATATTTCTTTCTTTCTTTTTTTTTTCTTCCCATTTTTGATACTAGTGATTGAATCCAGTGGCACTTTACCACTGAGCTATATTCCCAGTCCTTTTTATTTTTTATTTTGAGACAGAGTCTTGCTGAGTTGCTGAGGCTGGCCTCAAACTTATTATCCTCCTGTCTCAGTCTCCTGCATCACTGGGATTATAGGCATGAGCCACCATGCCTGTCTTCTGAAGAATATTTCTTTACCTTAATATAAAGGAACTTTCTTGTGTTTTGTAAATGGAAGTGATAGGGCTATGAGTGTGCTTTTGAAAGTAGAAGGGGCATGTCCTTATAGGGATAGGGTCAAAAAAAAGGGAAGAAAGATGTAGGAAATTTTGATTAGAAATTTATGGAACTGTAGGAAATGTCTGATCCATGCTTGTTGGCCCCTGTTATCGTCATGTATTGTTAGCAAATGGGACAAAGTCCTGTTTTTGGTGCTGGTTGAGCTCTTAACACAGCCATAGGTAGCATCCTAAACTTGGCCCATTCTTTTTTTCTAATGTATAACATCACCAGTAGGAAGAAATGTATGTGAATGACTGAGGAGGTCCCATCACTCTGGGAGTACAAAGCAAAGTTCAGGCCCGAGTGACGGCTCTGCAGCAGTGGCCATCTCCCTGCAAGATGGCCAGTTATCCACCTGACCCTTTTTCCCACTATTTCTCCTGAAGATAATGGTAGTGGAAAGCATAATTCCTGTGCCATTTTCTTGGTAGTCCACATTTTAAGAAATCATATATGCACATGTACAGGATGGATTGCTTTGAAAATTTCATTAGAACAATAAAAACACTGAATGTTAGAGTTTGAAAAGGGGTTTCACAATGACAATTGGGTTGCCTTATCCAGGAAGGCAGTGTCATTTGCTCAGCATAAAAGTGGATCCTGCAGTACTCTTTCTTTTCTTCTAGTGCTGGAAATGCTTGTGTACCATGAAACAATTTTGTAACTCTTTATGCATATTAAAACATTTTTTGTCCATGCAGAGAAATGAAAGTTATGCATAGCACTCACCGTCTTGGCTGCAAATGAGTTAGAAGTTTAGAAAGAACAATCATTACAAAAAAGTGTCTTGTCTCAGTTTGGTTTTGTAAGTTTATTATATCACCAAATCTGTGCTCATTATAGAAAAATCAGAAAAGTACAATCTGAAAGAAGAATAGAACAAGTATCTTATTCCTTGAGAGAAAAACCACTAGTGACATATCCTTTGTTACATGTCTTTCTGGATCCTTTTTGTACATGTATATTACTTTTTTAAAAAATGGATCCTAGTTTATATACAGTTTTTCAAAGATTGTCATCAGGGCAGAAAAAATAGCTTGAATTTTGGAAAAAAATATAAAATTTTAGAAAAACTGAAAAAATGTTTTAAAAAAGTAGCAAAATCAATGTATACAACAAAACTGCCAATATTAAAAACAAACTGTTAAAGAATATAATTCATTTGTATTCATCTGGTTAGCCTTTTTTTTTTTTTCCTGTTTTGCCTAATGTGGTTGCTTATGGTTTCTTATGAGCAAAATTAGGGCAGGTTGCTTCTGTCACATTTTCTAAGATATGTGGATTCTGTGATAAAAGAGCGTTTCAGAATACACTCAAAATAGGGACTGAGGGTGTGACGCAGTGGTTGAATACCTGCTAGCATGCATCAGGCCCTGGGCTTAGTCCCCAGCATTCAGGGATTCTTTCTTTCTTTCTTTCTTTCGAATTAGAGCTGAGTATTGCCCTTGTGACATATCTTATCATTCTTTCCTCAATCCATATTTCTCATCACCTTCAAAAAAGAAAGTGAGACATTATTATTATGGTAAATCTCCCTTGGTGAAACTTGTGTGATTTTGCATGTCCTGAAGTTTGTCCAGCTATCTGATTTAACTGCCATATGTGGGACTGCATCGAGTTATAGGTGCTCTTTTTTTACCTTGTGTTCTGACATGGTCATAAACTGCTTGAAGTCAAAAAAGACTTCCCAGGCCTGCCTCTAGGGTCAGTGGCAGACATGTTGAATGACTAAATGACCCAATAAATGAGCAGTTATCAGCCTTTGTTAAGAGTGTGCTGTGTGTCAGGGGGCCCTGTGCTTCTCCTGGATTAGTTGATGAGATCCTCAGAGGACCCCTTAGTGATTGCGTGAATGCCTGATTATCCCAATTCGAAAGGTCCTGCCTTTGTTGGTAGTCTTCAAGCTTTATATCTAATTATCACTGTTGGAAGGTGTAAAATCATAGACTTAGGATTCTGGACCTGTTAAGTAACTTGGGGATCATGTTATTTGCAGGCAAGGAGACAGGCGCAAAGGGATTAAGAGGTCTGCAGCGTCGTATACTGCAGAGTAGAAGAAGAATGCAGGTTTCCACATTCCAGGCCAGTGTCCCTCCTGCTTCCCAGGACTCTCCTTTCCTCCCAGAACCTTTGTGATGGTTAAATTCTTTCCCTTGAGGACTTCATAAACATCAATATTACTTATTATTTATGTAGACATTAATCTTAATTATTTATACATGATAAATTACATAAATGTTAATACTTCTTTCTCCCAGGAGTTCATCATTGTTTATGAACAACCAAAGCACAACCCAGAATTCAGAAAACCAATAGCTTAAAGTTTCATCAGAGACAGAAATCTTAAGTTAAACTTTCCTTAGAGTTCCTGGGGTCATAGTGGGCACTTGTTAATTATTCTCTGTCCCTGTTGGTGATCTTCATTTTGTTCAGGTGTCCAAATACCTCTTTTGTCCTTTCCTGTCTGCTTTGCTGCTGGGGAGGGAGCTGATTAGACTGTTGGGAGCTGGACCCAGCTGTCCCCACTTCTTCACCTCATCACTGTGCGCTTGTTTTAGACTTTGGCTAAAAACAGATCCTCTGCTCCCTTGTGCATATCTTGTCATTTCTTTCTCTCCCTGCTCCCAGTTATATTTGGCATGGTGTTATTTAACTCTGCAGAACATCTTGGCACAGAACTTGGGCCATGGGGTTGTGCCAGGTACGGCACTACATCATTAGTGATATTGTGTCATCCCTTTTCAGGATTGGGGTAGAGGGAAGGAGACAGGGGACATCTTTATTCAACGACTCTGTTGAGTGCCTAATATATTAAATATAATATATTAGGTGGTAAGAAGAAGCAGAAAACAAGGAAAGGAAGTGATGGAGAAAGGGCTTTTTTGGACAGAGTGGTCAAAGCAGCTGTCTTGAGAAGGTGACCTGAGCAGGATGTGGAAGGGAGGAAGGAGAGAGCCACGTGGGGAGCTAGGAGAAGCCAGTGCTAGACAGGAAGTAGTGCAAGGTGAGGAGAGCGTGGCAGGAGGTGGTGGTGGAGTATCAGGCGCTCCTGTCCCCTGTGGCCTTGCAGTTCATCTCTAGTACTTTGCTTGTGTCTGAGATGAGAAGCCACTAGAAGGTTCTGCACTGAGGACTGGTATGACCTGAGTTTGTTTTACAAGATCTCCTGGCTGCTCTCTTGAGCACAGTCTGTGAGGGCCAAGGGCAGAAATGGGCATCCAGATAGAAGGCAATGGCATGTCCCTGGTGAGAGATATCGGGGCTGCTCCCGGGTTGAGAGGCATGTGGCCAGAAGGGATCAGAGTCTGAATGTTTCTAAGGGCAGAGACAGGATTGCCAGAGTTCAGTGTGGGGCGTGGTGAAAACATTGTGGCAGGGATGGCTTCAGGTTTTGATGCTGGCATCTGAAAGAAAGCACTTGCCATTTTCTGAGCCCAGGAAGGCTGAGAGAGCAGAACAGGACAGGTACTTAATTCCCTGTGCAAGAGAGTTCTGCAGGCACCCATACAGAAACTCTGACATTTCCCTTCCCGAAAGAAATTTTCCCTTAGCCCTTTATCCCTGTAAGCCTTTACTCCATTTCTCCCACTTTCCACGTATCCTTCCATCCTCTCCTGAATCCACTCCCAGCAGCTCATCACTCTTCCAAAGCTGAGTTTGTGTGTGTATGTGTGTGTGAAGCCTCTGAAGATACAAACAATTCGATACCATCTGATGGCTTATCTACCCTGAACCTCTGTCTGCCATGCCCTCCATGATGCCTGATCAGTTTTCAGTCATCAGCAGCTCCCGTGCCATCATTTACTACCTTGTCCTCCAAGTACTTTTCTTCTTCTGGCCTTCAAAATGCCGTTGTGTGCTTCCTCTCCCTCCACCTTCCCCATCACAGTGGACAGCGTCTCCATCCTTCCAGGAGAGAGAGCTGACCCTTTACCACTCTATCTGGGCACAAAAGCTTCAAGATGTGACAGAAAGGAATATGGTTCTTTTTGAAAAAAATCAAGTAAATCTGAGAAATCGGCGTGCTCCATGGGAAGGGTCTGTGTAGTTTGGAATTACGAAGGTCTGCGAAACGGCATGAGATGCTCAGTATAAAAGCGCAAAGCAAGTCGTCTTATCCCAGCAACCTTGGCCAGGCCTGTGTCCAGGTTACAGTCATAGCTATCTTAAAAGATATTGTCAATCTTTGGCATTTGTGGCCATCCTCATGTTGTCCAGAAGGAAACATATTGCACTTGACCTTAGCAAGGGGCACTTACTGCATCCTCTCTTCTCACACTTGATTCTACTGCGTGTGCGTGTTTTAATAATGTTTAAAAAATCTTCCCAGAAAGAAGATTGGCCCATGCACAAGCTGGAGTGTTCTCCCATGGTTGTTTTTGGGGAAAACTGGAGTCCTTCAGAGACTGTGAGGCTAACAGCGAGGATTCTGGCCAAACAGGTGAGGAAATTAGGACACTGTTCAAGTGCATTTGTTTATTTTTCCTCAGAGGTCAGAAAATGAGACACTGACCGATGGTGATGATATCCTGTTGAACATCTGTGGATGCCGTTCATGTCCTTGTGGAAGTGTGGGAGGAACACTGCAGGCTCGAGCTTGGTTCACTGTCTGCCCTGGGCAGTTAGGGTGTTCCTTAACCCAGACCAGAAGTGTAGCCACGCCTATTAAATTCTAGGTTTTCTTTGAAACCAGTTTACATAGAAAAACCTGACTGCAAATAATTACTAGAGCTTCCTCAGGAACCAGACCAGTCTGAGAAACTTTGAGATTTTCCCTCTTTCCTTTCTGAGTGGAATGCACGGCTGTCCCCTTTTCCTTTCTGCTCTTTGTTGTCTCCTTATTTTCTTGCCTGCACATAGGCAGGGATGCAGAGCATGCCACCAGGATGATGACACGTGCAGAGAAGAGAAAGAGTGGCAAAGTAGAAACTGAGGCAAGTTGGGGAAGGAAGAGGGGAAGGAAGAAGAAAGAGATGGCGTTCTCCAAAGATGATACGAGACTGTTTCCCCCCTGTTTGGTTGGTCTTTCCCACCTTTAGGATCACTGAACACATTATCTTCAGTGGCCCAAACTGAGAATGGGGAAGCACCATAGGACTGGCTCGTCCCTGTGGCCAATGCAGTAGGTGGTATGAAGTTCAGGAGGCCTGAATCCGTGGAAGTCTTTTCTCTGTGTTGATGGAGAAGTTGGTAGCAAGGCCTCAGTGTTGTTAATCTTTGAAGGCCAAAAATTTTATCCACCTCTTTCTTCCATATACCTTCTAGCACCTATCCCCGCTTAAAATTTCTCTATATTTTTTAGTCTAAACCAAGTGTGAGTGCAGACATACATCTGTACCCAGGCTAGCATCCTGGGGTGTATAAACAGAACACTATGTTCACCTTGGGTCTTGTTACCAAAAGGCCACATTGCTGATCAGAGCAACCAGAAACATTCAAGGGATGCCATGGACTGAGACCAGAAAATCAGAATTGTTTTCCCTGGAGGGGGCTAACTTTTGGGTCCTTAAGAACAATTGCCTTTAAATTTATGCAGAGTAGATGGTGGATAAAATGGGTTCAGGGAAATGTTCTGGCAGGCTGAGGTTCAGGGCAAATAAGCCATCAGATGGTATCGAATTGTGTGTATCTTCAGAGGCTTAGGAGACTGGTCTTCTGACTTACTGGTGTTATTTATAGTGTCATGTTAAGAATTTAGAAGAAGCTGGTCTGCTTTCCTGAATGAAAGGTTTCCCAGGCAAGATGACTTATTAGTCTTACAAAAGTGCATCCTGTGAATGGAAGATTTTGACTCCCAAAAAAGAACTATTGAAATGTTTTGACACCAGGAGGGGAGTCTGAATGCTATGATGAGTTTACACTAGTTTCATTCAACTTTTGTTATAATTACTACTACCACTAATAGTCTATTAAATGAAAAGTTACCTGTCCGTCTTTTCATCTCTATAGGCCTTGATGATTAAAAAACCAGGCCATTTGTATTCTAGTAGCTTGCAAAGGATTAGGGGAGACAGGCTACCAAACTACCAAGGGGAAGCTTAACATGTTAACTAGGGAGGTGAGAGCGCCCTGCTAGACCACCTGTATCCCCAAACTGAATAGCCAGATTACAAAGAGGAGGCCTGGGGCCAGCTCCAGAGCTCTGCGTTTGAACTCTTGTCAACACCAAGTTTATTCATGTTCTCAAAGCCTAGCGGGTTTACTATTGTTAGCTCCTCTTGGGGTGTCTAGAACAAAGACAGCAACACGTTTAAAGTGAATCTGGGCTCACAGATACAACCAAAAGTGTTCTTTTTGAAACACAGAATTCGAGATCATTTTAGCCTATGCTTAAAGAAAGTGTAAAATGGATGGGGGGTTTGATTTTGTTCCTTTTTAGAAGGAGAAATAATAAATAGGATGGTTTGCCTGTAGACTCAGCCCTTTTAAGTAAGGGCCCTAAAAAGTTGTTTTCTGGCCCTGTTCTTTCCCATAACAAGCATTTCTGAGCCTACTATGTGCGTAGTATCCTCAGGGTGTTGGAAATGCAGCAGACATTTCAGAAAGCTTTTTAAAAGAGCCCTTTGGATTTGGATGTTGGGCAAAGCACTCAGAGCCCAAATGGTGGCTCCTTGGGTAGCTTTCTTTACTTCCTTGAAAACTATTGTTTTTCTTTATGTTGGTGTAAAAGTGAAGGCACTACTTTTTTACACTGGTTGTTAACATCTGTGTCTGTGATTTCTTCCCCAATTACTAGAAAATCCACCCAGAGAGAACACCTTCAGAGAAACTGTTAGCTGTGAAGGAGTTTGAATCACGTAAGTCTTTCTGTGACCGGCTAGGCAGTTATTTTAGCCACGAATTTAATGTAGATTAGATGGGATTGAAGCAAGAAAGAGGCTAGCTTCATCTCTTAGTAGGGATAGTGATTTTTAAATTATTTATATATTTATATAATATTAATAGTGATATTTAAATTATTTTGACTTGTGTGCTATTTTGAAAAGTGCTTTTAACCTTTTTTCTCTGAGTTGACAGGTTTATTAGGAAATAATTAAAGGGAGATAAGAAGTCATCAGATGAATTATTTCATCCCAAGCCATGTCCTGCTGGCTCTCCCAGCATGCAAAGTATTTTTGGGTCTTTGCTGAATTGCAATCTGTAAACCAGTGTTCTTACTGAAAGGCATTAAATCAGGGCGATCCAGTTGCTTGTCCCTGCCCAGGTTCCAAGGCTACTTGGGGGTCCTTGACCACACTAGGTTGGTTATCAGTTTTTACCCCTTAGTCCTGACCCCACTGCTAATGGTCAGTTGAAATTTCACATTCTGAGTGACTTCCAATTGTTAGAGCAAGAGAAGGAAGAAATGACATGCTGTTCTTTCCTTAGGTTTTGTCATTAGATCGAATGATAGGGAAAAATGTTGACATTTTGGATTTTACCCTTTCTTTTTCATGCTGTTTAGAGTAAGGAAACCAGCAATAGTGTTTCCTCCAGGGTTGGTAATGGGCTTCTTACCCACAGATCTGGATAAGCTAGACAATGAGAAGAAGGATTTGATTCAGAGTGACATTGCTGCTCTCCATCAGTTCTACTCCAAGCACCTCGAGTTCCCTGACCACAGCAGCCTCGTAGTACTCTTTGCACAGGTAAGGATGCTGGGGTCAGGCAGTGCTTTGGCCCCTCCCTCTCTGAGCTCCTGGCCTGAGCACGAACTCAGCAAGGCTGAAGTGAAATAGAACGTTGGCATCCCTTGACAACAAGGCACTCGGCCCCTGGGTCCTACATTGTCACACCTCACTAGGTGACCTGAGCAGGCCAAGGTCCTCTCTGTGCTGACCCTCACTGAGTAGGGAGCAGAGGACATCCCCCTTGCCATTGCCTCACAAAGAGTTCATGAAAACAAAGGAGCTGCCAGTGCTCCAGTTTTCTAGCACATGTCCAGCTGTCTAATTCTGACACCGTTTTACTTTCCCGTTCTTCAGTCTTCTATTTGATAGAAAATGTCCTTTTGTCTCCACTGGCGAAGGCTGTGCTGATAAAGCAGAGGTTTACAGATACCCCGAGAAGGGGGCCCTCTCGGATGCCTGGGCAGCCCCACTCGTCCAGTGCATGGAGTCTTTGCTGCAGGTTGCTTGAGGGTCTTGCTTAGAGAAGCACAGGTTTTCCAAGATCAGATATGAGAAACAAATCTAAAACGCTTCCAGACAACAACACCTTGGAAGTGATTAAAGACTTGGACACTAGGCCATTGGAAAGGCTAAAGCTTGAACAGTGTTGGAACAAGAGGAGAAAGGGTGCCACCATCAGAATTTGGCAGGACGCAGTCTTCTCCTTGTTGCAAGGGCTGCCCTTCCTGGCCTGACTTGCTACACTGGGTTTCTCTTCCTCCATAACCTTGTAGTTTTCTCTACATGTTGGACATTTCGTTGAAGGGAACCTTCCCATAGAAGGAAAGCCTGGAATGCTATTCTTGGGCAAGTGGCTACATCTGTTGCCAGAACCTTCAGTCTCTAGGTGTATGAAGAACCCTGGGGGCACCAACACGTTTTTGTCTTAGAATGGAATGTACATCACCTGTGTTCCCTTTGACCTAGTAATTCCATTTTCAGGAATCTGTTCTAAGGAAGCAATCAGAGATATGGTCAGAGATTGACCTGCACGTTGTTGGTTATGGGGTTCTTTTAAAGTAAAAGGAAGAAAGGACTGGAGGGAAGGAAGGAAAAGGAGAAAGGGAAAGGGGCCAGCAGTCAGAGTGTGATTAAACAGATTGTGGTGTAGCCCCTGATTGAAGTAACATAGCCTTCGACACAACAAATAAATTGTGTTTGAAGACTGCCTGGAGATGTGGGAAATGCTGATGACACAGCATGACATATAAAAGCAGGATGGAACGTGTGTAATATGGAAACATCCCTGCGTGGAAGGACTGCATGAGGTCAGTTGGTTTCTTCTGAGGTGTGGGAAGTGTTTGCTTTTTTTTTTTTTTTTTTTTTTGAGGGGCTGGGGATTGAACCCAGGGTCTTGTGCATTCGAGGCAGGCATTCTAATGGGTGATTTTTCTGGATTTTCTACAATGAACATGTATAACTGAAAAAATATAAAGAAGAAAAAGGTTAAAAGGCACACTTCCTAGGATCTGACTTCCTTAACAAGACCCCTAAATCACAAGAATTAAAATCAAGAATCAATAAATCGGATTCAAATTAAAAAGCTTCTTCTTAGCAAAGGAAACAATCAATAACTTGAGGAGAGAGCCCACAGATTGGGAGAAAATCTTTACTACATGCACCTCCAATAAAGCATTAATCTCTAGGCTATCTAAAGAACTCAAAAAAATCAACACCAAAAAATCAAATAACCCAATCAATAAATGGACTAAGGAACTGAACTGACACTTCACAGAAGAAGAAATACAATTGATCAACAAATATATGAAAAAGTGTTCAACATCTCTAGTAATTAGAGAAATGCAAATCAGAACTACTCTAAGATTTCATCTCACTTTGGTCAGAATTGCAATCATCAAGAATACATGCAACAATAAATGTTGGCAAAAATGCTGGTGGGACTGCAAATTGGTGCAACCACTATGGAAAGCAGTATTGAGATTCCTCAGAAAACTTGGAATGGAACCACCATTTGACCTAGCTATCCCACTCCTTGGTTTATACCCAAAGGACTTAAAATCAGCATACTACAGTAATGCAACCACATCAGTGTTTATAGCCGCTCAATTCACAATAGCTAAACTATGGAACCAACGTAGGTGTCCTTTAATAGATGAATGTATAAAGACATGCGGAATATATAGTCAATAGAATATTACTTAGCTTTAAGGAAGAATAAAATATGGCATTTGCCAGTAATTGGATGGAGTTGGAGAATTTTGTGCTAAGCGAAATAAGCCAATCCCAAAAAACCAAAGGCTGAATGTTTTCTCTAATATGTGGGTGCTAATTCACAATAAAGTTGGGGGGCACTAGAGAAGAATAGAGTTACCTTAAATTAGGTAGGGAGAAGTGAAGGGAAGGGAGGAGAAAGGATGTGGGGATAGGAAAAATAGTAGAATGAAACAGGCATTATTACTGTATGTGACTGCATGACCAATATGATTCTACAACATGTACACTCAGAAAAATGAGACATTATATCCCATCTGTGTATGATATATCAAAGTGCATAAATGTGTTATACTGTCATGTATAACTAATTAAAACAAATTAAAAAAAAAAAAAACCTTACACATAGAAAGAAAGGTCTTTCACTACTTTTACCCACTTCTATGCCCTGAAGAACCACTGTTAAAATTCAGTGAATTATTTTAATAGACTTTATTTATGTAGATATATTTCACTCTGTAACTGTCATAATCAGAAAAAAGTTATTCCTTATAGGATAAATAATCAATTGAAGTTATGAGATAGAAGTAATTAAAAACCTTTCTGATTTTCACATTATCCTAATTTACACCATATTTTGGTAAGCATCCTAAGATGGAGGATTGGGGCAACAGTGGAAAGTTGAAGAATTGACATCTCTTAAATTTTTTGAGAAACTAGATTTGTGATTTTTTTTTTTTAATGAGACATGCATGTCTGTATGAGAAAGCAGAGCATTGAAATAGATCATCTCTTAAGCTGGGAAAAAAGATAACTTTTCCCCTTAACACAGTCATACATGTTGATGTGACTTGTCCGTATTGAAGTGATATTTTCATAACAAAGTAAAAGCACTTGCTCTCACAAGTACAGGTATATTTGTGGTGGAAATGAGTCAGTTTTTGGACTCGGAAACACAGGGCATTTATGTGCCTAAGAGAAAAATACACTCACACAAAACTGTAGTCATTCATTTCTTTTTAGACTTTATATTTATCAGATTACAGTATTCATTCTAAGATTGTATGGATACACACAAACATTCACACATCTTTTTTCATATGGAAATTTGAAAAGGTACATTTAGTATCCCAAACAAAAATGAGAAGTGCAGCTCCCTCCCCATGCCACCCTGGTCCTGTGCCTCAGCGAATGTCTGCTGTCTCAGCTTCTGAGCCCTTCCTCAGAGGAGACTGCTGGGGATTAAGTGGCAGCCCAGCAGCAGCTGGTAGCCAAAGGTGACTGCGCTCTTTCAACAGCATAGTTAAGGTGTGTTTTAATCACTGGGAATGTATACATGGTTGGGAAGTGTATTTTTGGTGTGTAGCCTACATCTGTTCTAAATGCTAATTATGAAAATAGCTTTAGCAAGGCACTTACGCCTGATTTGACTTGAGGAAAAAAGGACTATGGCCCATATACCTTTCTCGATGTGCAAGTACACTTTTCTTCTCTAGGGATATCTCAGAAGGGAGGGAAAGCTGGCAGGAAAATTGCTATGCAGTTTGGCTTAAACACTATCACCGCCTCCCCAAAAGGAACAGTAATGACTCTTAAGCTTCCAAGAGCCTCTGAAGAAACACCTGCACTCTTCCCCAGTACGGGGAGCAAGGGCAGGGAATAAAGTGAGTGATGGTCAGGATGGTTCAGCCTGAAGGAACCCAGAGTTGTAGGCTGGTCCAGCTGGGCTCGCTGCAGAGGAGGGGATTAAAAAGCAGAGGAGCAAAAATCCCATCATCCAAGGTGGTCAGGGCCTATCTGTCTCTGGATTCATTTTGATAATTCTTGCTAAATTCTCTTACTGATTCTGCAAAAAGCTATTGTCATTATGGGTGCCGGACCTTGTCTAGTGTGAGACTGTGTAGGTCATTTTAGCACCTAGCCAATAAAGTGCTGGACACATGGTTCATACTCTAATGGATTAATTTTGTTGAATGAATTAAAATCCTAACTTACTTCTACTTAGTGTTGGTTGATAGTCATTGGTAATGGTCATTGAGTAATGTCCCATGACAGACTTGGTCAGGACACTTGGAATTGGCACACAAAAATATAGTATGCTAAGTAATCTACTTAGAAGGGCCCAACCCCTGGGGATTACAAACAAAGGCTATTATTTTACAACCTGTAGTGCCTTCCCATCTCCCATTTTTTTTTCTCTCTTTTGGTAAATAAATCAAACCTGTCACTGCCCTTACTTGAGTGCGTACCACAGTTTCCAAGCCTTTGCCAGTGGCCCTTTTGCTTTAAGTGAAAGAGCTCCATTAATATTTGAGAAAGCCATCTACTTTTAGAAGAAACATGGTAGAGTGTGAAGAAGCCAGGCTTTGCAGTCAGACTGGTCTGAATTCTGACTCCTGACATGCTACTTACTATTTCATGTCCTTGAACAAGTCATTTAGCCCAACCCCCCCATCCAGCCTCAGTTTTCACATCTGTAAAATGGATTGCTATAATAATGCAAGAGTTGCTGTGGATTTATGAAGTGTTAGATCTTCAGTATCTAACCTGGAGTATGTGCTCACTGAGTCTGACTAGGTGAGACTCAGTGCTGTTTTTACAAGCTCTTCTGCTGATCTGAGATGTTGCAGTGCAGGTGTGCAAGGGTGAAGTCATTCAGCACGCAGGCCTCACAGGATCAGCAGGAGTCTGGGCCTTTCCAAAGCTCACTTTGTGACTGTAGACCAGCTAGTGCTCTTCCCAGATCTCAGATTCATCTTTTAGAAAGTGAAGTGGCTCAGTTCCCTTCCAGCTGTGAAATTTTAGATATGTATGGAGAACATCCACTGAGTTGTCTCCCAAGAGACTGTGTGTCCGTGGAGGCCTCAGATTTTTGGTGATTTCTATTTCTATGCATAGTACCCTACACATTGAGCCTCTCGATAAGTATCTGTGGAAAGAATGAATTTATACAATCTGGAAATTGGCATGTGGAGTCCATTTTCAGCCTGCTCATTCTGAGATCTTCAGAGTTGCCTTGGACATGTTGGTTGAACATTTCTTTTCAGGGATGAGAAGGTGACCAGTGGTTGATTTGGCTGAGACATGAAAGGCAAGGCCTCAATTCTCTTGGCTTCTGACCCTTGGTCCCTCTGCCTATCAAAGGGAGGGACAGCAATTCTATTAGAAGAATAAAGGCTTTTGCAGATACTTTCTCACCTTCTAAGATAGGCCCTGGATTAAGTGGTTCCTTTTTTAAGAGCAAAGGACTTGGCAACGAGCTCTACATCACATCAAAAAGCTGTGGCTTAATTAGAATTAGACCAAGTACCCTGGCTCCCCTGTTAATATGCAGACTGTAGTCTGTGCAGCCACAGGAGTCCGTCCACTGTGTGCAGGCTGGTGCACGAAGAGTTAGTCAACCCCCACCAGTTCTGCTTTTGTTTGTTTACACATGGGACTGCTGAGTAAATTTTTTTGAACAAAGGTTGCCCTGGCTAAAAGGTTTTAAAACCACTAAACTGGAACATCTTCACAGTTAATTTGTTAAAAGTCAAAATTAAAGAAATGATCCCTAAAGCTTGAGGGAAGCTTTAGCTCGTTTTTTTTCTGTCTCCCCCCTTTTCACTACAGGTTAACTGTAATGGCTTCACAATTGAAGATGAAGAGCTTTCTCATTTGGGATCTGCGATATTTCCTGAGTAGGTTGAGTCTGACTTCTTTTCTTTTCTTTGTACTTATTTAACACTAATTTGATTTTTTTTTAAGAATTTTTATATAACCCACCTAGCTGCATGTGGCAGACATGAAACTCCAAGTGAATTAAGGCAGCTTTTTAATCTGCCAGATTTCAAAATATTTCCCCTACACTTAAGGATCTGAAGGTAGTAGTTAGGAGAACAGTTGCTTGTTAAGTCCTACTAAGCAGAGAGCTATTATTAAAAGAATATTTTACAGTGTGCATGGAAGGAGCAGCCCATGCCCTGCTGAGAAATTTGCTTTCTGCACGTGTATGCTGTGGAAATCTTTGGGTTTCTTAAACTCAAAGTGAAACATTAATTTCTAAACAAAAAATTGGCCACAGACTTATGTAGAAAATACACAAACTTCTTGTTTCAATTGTCCTTTTTTGAAAAATCCAATAAAAAAACAGCACAGTTTGGAGAGAGACTCTGCTAAAGTAGTGAACTAGAGAAAAAATTCTAAGAACTGTCAGATTTTTCTCTATATTTCAGGAGTAATTTAAGAAAGGCTAGCCAGTTGACAAATGAAGATCTTTATAGCTCTGACTTTAATGGAATGCCAAGATTGGCTTTGCCCTTGTCCTGATGGAATGGGTATTTCCAAAATAACTCAGTGCCCTGAAATTCTCAGGTGAAGTTGGGGGAGCCTTCCTGTATACTTCTGTCTGAATTAATCCCCATTGTAGATTACGTCCATCTAAAAGGAGATTGCTCGCTACATACCATAGGGTCCTTGGTTACCTTAACATGTGTGGAAACCCCTAACACTATGCACTGGCCGAGGGTGCTATTTTTACTCCTGGAATGTGTGTAGCTGCCAGGCTTCATTCACCAAGTGGGTCAGAAGGAGAAGAATCCATACAGGTCTGCATCTCCTGAGCACCTGTCACAGGCTTGTTGGAACCAGAGATACAGAAAGTTTCCTCATGATGCTACTGTTCCTGAGACCAGCCTAAGCAGTTTGAATTGTGATAATAAGAAAAGAGATGTATTTTGGGAAAGGTTCTTTTTAGCCTTTTGCTCTTGGGAAAACGAAGAGAGAGAGAAGGGGCATTGGATTCTGTGGAAGAGGTGTATTACAGCAACTTCGGTAATCACATGGTCTCTGCAGGGTTTTGTGCCCAGTATCTTAAAGAGGAGGCTAAGAGGAAGTGGTGGTGTCTAGATATCACCCTCTTCCCCCAGTGATGATCCAGAACAGGACTTACTTTAGGCCCCCTGCCTTAATGAAGTTCTCCCACCTTCTTACAAAGATACACAGAGGTCTGTTGAAATAAGGAATTACTTAACACTTTCTGTAAGGAGATTTTAGAAATCGTTGGGGAACCACCCTTTTGGTGCCTTTGTTTATCAGATTTCCTGGGCCCTGGTTCCCTGTGCATCACTTGTCAGGAAGCTGGGTGGGCTGTGGTGCAGGGAAGAAGTATCCCCCCCCCCCTCCCGCTCCCAAGACGAGACTACAAGACTGGAACCTGCTACCTGTGTGTCCCAGGCACAAGCCTAGCTACACACTATACGCAGACCTCTAGCAGGGGACGGCCACACCCAACCTGGACATGGCACACCCTTGAGCATATTCTCATCAATCTTGGCGACCCCTTTCCTTTTTTGTATGTTTGGGGCAGGCAGGAGAGGTGTTCTGGTCACCAAAGATCAGACATGTGGCACTGGCCATCAGAACAGTGATACATACATATGTAGGAGTGTGAGCCCCAGTTTCTGGGCAGTTTTAATTGGGGGAAAAATCCCCTTGGGCAGAAATCATATCGGCATTGTGATTTCAAAGGCAGCATTTTCAGAGATCAAGCACTCTTTCCCTGTAGTTTAGAAATTTCTGTTCTCAGAACTTTGACCTTGATATAATCAGAAAGCTCAAAGCCCCTCGCATAGGCGAATCTCTCTCCTTCTCGTTGTCCCTGAAAAGCAGACAGTGAGCAGCAGGAGCAGTAATGTCCCAATTTTCCAGATGAGGAAATTGAGGTGCAGACAGACTCCAATGGGCTTCTCTGCAGCTTCAGGGGCCACAAGCCCTCTCTCATGCAGGCAGCTGGTATTTCTTTGCCTCTTAAGGAAGTGTGAGAAATGATCCATTTGGACAAAAAGCCACTTGGAAACAATAACTCATTTGTCTTGTATATAATGTAGCTGAAGGTATTGCATTTTGGTCCCGCGTCTACCAGGAAGGAATATTTATGGCATTTTTTAAAATTGTGTTTAGCTTAGATAGCAGTGTTTTGATTTGTGGGTTTCACTTTTCAATGTAGAGTTTAAGATTTTAAATATTATTATAAATGCATACAGATCAACTTTTTAGAGTAATCTAAGCTGGCTTTCACCTGTCTTTTTGTTGTTTTACAAAGACTCGTTTCCTCTAACTCAGCAAATAAGTGGCCAAGGAGTTACTGAAACTGTGCTGTCTGTGCTGTTCACAAAACTGGGGTTTCTCTTCTGGTTGACAGTGTTGCGTTGATGAATCATAGCTGTTGCCCCAATGTCATTGTGACCTACAAGGGGACCCTGGCGGAAGTAAGAGCTGTACAGGAAATCAGTCCTGGAGAAGAGGTATGTGGCCACAGGTAGCTGTGACAGTGGGCTCACGCAGCTGTTCTAAAAGGCAGTGCAGACAAAGCTGTGTGGTGTGGGGGAGGTACTGTTGGAGTGATTCCAGCATTAAACTGCCAGTAGGAGCACTGGTAGGGGCGGTAGAGGCACCACCAGCCCTTCCCTCCCCCAGTGTAGGGACTGGGAAACAGCAGGTCTCCATCACCTGCTCACTTATCCCTTCTCCCTTTCCCAGACTTCTCACCTGGAAAAGGCTGGCCTAGTGGATGGCTGTGCAAATTTTCTGTGCTCTTTAAGTAGCTCCCTAGCAGGACATATGAACTTTCAGGCACTGTGATCACATATTTGAAGTTCAATTTCTGTTTAATTTGTAATGCTATTTTATGGACATTTTAAATATAATTATTGGGGTGCTAAATGAGAAATGCTTAGATTTCTTTGAAAGGTATTAACTAGTTCTCAGGTAGATGAGGAATTGGTGCCCAGTATATAGATTGGCCCCTCTACCCGCTGCTAAGCCCGTGGTGCCGAGGGTGTCCTATTCAGGGCCAGGCTGTCTAGGTTTACAGATGTCTGATGGAGGCATCCTAGATTCCTCCTTGTTAAAACATAGTTTTAACAAGGGGTCAGAGTACAACTGTTGGGCCCCAGAGCTCCTGTGGGCTGACTGGAGGGACAAGGGGTTTGTCTCCTAGAAAGGCTCAGCTTGAGCCATGAACAGTGACACTGGAGTGGCCTTTGTCGCCATCTTCTGGAACCTTCTGTTGGTTGCACTGTGTCCATCAGTCATTTCTAAGAAAATCAGGCCAACTGTTGCCGTGTGTGGCAACGCAGGGCCGGCCACGGTTTCTGTCGCCTGCAAAGTCTCACAGATCTTAAATGCAGTAACTTCATTTGGGGAATTCACTACTTCGGGGGCTTCTTGCCCTTCAGAGAGGAAGGAATCCATTCCTCAGTATCAGAATGAGCCGTGTGTCCAGTCCTGTTCTTTGATTGGAGAGCTTGGCTGCCCCTGCTGTTCCTAGCCCTGTGCTGCTCCCCCGCTGCTTGCCTGGCAGTGCCTGAGGTCACTGGCACACTGGCGGCTTTGAGAAATCCATCTGTTCAGGCAGACATTTGCCTGATTGTGTGGGATGAGCAGCCAGTGCCGTCCCAGTGAGTAGATAATGGACATCTCAGTGCTGGCCCTCTCCATATGCTCCAAGTCTTAGTTATGGACCCTGTTACAAAAAAAGCAAGGACAGAACAACCCTGTGAGCCCAGAGGTAAGACTGTCCACTTCAGGATCAGGAACTGCCTGCTGGCTGAGGCCACAGCAGGTGGTGTCCTGAAAGCTATGTTTTCCCTGCCCTGACTTCCGAGGCCACCAGAGCCACAGGTGTCAGGTTCTAGAGCTGTGCCTCTTGCTCTGTAGCCTTCTGATGTCAGGAGAAAAGGTGAACTTAGCAGGACGTGTGTGTTCCCACTCTCCCCTGTGTGCACCCAGCAGTAGCAGCAGCATCACCCAAGCATGCCAGGTTGTGAAACAAAAGAGGCCAAACAAAGGCCGGGCAGAGAGCACACAGGCCCAAACCCAGGGATGAGTCGACTCTTAGCCCAGTGGGTCCATGGCTTCTGTCCATGAGACTAAGGACACACCCACAGCCTGCTCTGTTTGGTGAAGAACAAGAAGGCAGGGAACCTTTCAGCCCTCCAAGTTGTGGTTTAGGAGCTCGGATTCTGTAGATACTCTACACCGCGAGGAGCTGGACATGTTAGGTGGCTAGAGTTTCAGAAATCAGTGCCTTAAGGTAAACAGCAGGTTCCTTGGTGGTGGCCTCCTTATCCTCTGTCCCTGCAGTACTACCTCAGGTGTCCACAGAGTTATGAGAGTAGTATGGTTGACTTTCTCTGTGGTAGATTGAAGCTTGACCTTCTTGGCCCCTTAGGTATTTACCAGCTATATCGACCTCCTGTACCCAACAGAAGACAGAAATGATCGGCTGAGAGATTCTTACTTTTTTACCTGTGAGTGCCAGGAGTGCACCACAAAAGACAAGGTATGTCACTGATTGGCCAACGGCTGGGACTTGTGCTCTGGCTTGGGACCTCTGCTGTGGATGCGCTTCCCTGTCTTCCAGGCAGATTTCCTCCTGTGGTGTTTTTGACCCTTTTGACCCACCTTACCAGACAGCCAGAGGGAATCCAGTCAGACCAGGTCTCTGTTGAGACCTGTTCCCCAAAGCTGATGAACACATTTCCATTCACTGTACAAATAAGAGAAGGATCTGCCAGATGCCCGTGTCTTGAAAATGACTGTTCAAAAGAGGGGAGGGAAGAGAGCAGGTGAGACTCGGGTCCAAGCTCTCCCACCTCCTCATGGAGGTCATGGGATTTACCCCTGCTCTGCCCAGGTTTGTTTTGTCAGTGCCACCCCTCCTTACTCTCGTCTCTTGATGCATTGTTAGGTGAACACCATCTGCCCATAGCAGATATATTCTTTGTTTCCTACCTAGGGAAAATCATCTAGAAAATCAAGATTTTCGTTTTTTTAAAAAGGTAATTGAGTGCCAGGCAAGCTCCAATAATAATAATAATAACAACAACAACAATAATCTCAGCTACTCTAGAGGCTCAGGCAGGAGGATAACAAGTTTGAGGATAGCCTGTATAATTTACTGAGACCCTGTCTCAAAATAAAGCTGCTCAGTGGTAGAGCATCTCTGGATTTAGTCTCCAGTAATACACACAAGCACGCACATACACACACATACATATGGGTGTGTGCTCGAGAAGGTAATGGCTTATTGAATCCGCCTCTTAGATATTGTCCAGTTTCCTCCTTTTCTGCTGTAACTTTAGAATGGCCAAGTCCTGCCTCTGCGTGGGAATATGTATTGAGAGGTTTCCTTATCCGTATGGTTTCCATGGGAGGTAAAGCCTCGCACTTGTGGATGTTTCCCTCAGGATACAGCCAAGGTGGAAATCCGCAAGCTCAGCGACCCCCCAAAAGCAGAAGCCATCCGTGACATGGTCAGATATGCGCGCAACGTCATTGAGGAATTCCGGAGGGCCAAGCACTACAAATATATCCTTTACAACTGTGTGGGCAGCTTACTGTCCCTCGCTGATGAGAAGTGGCAGGAAGTTGGCAAGAAGGAGCAGGAGGGGGTGTATTTGAGATTCTGGATATTGAAAGAGGCCTGCCTCTTGGTGATGTGTGAAGATGTATTGACCAACCATGACATGGCATCAACTTTGTCATGCGTCACTGTGCTGTTCTTATTTCTCCATACTTGACTCCTTTGGTCAGGAGCTGCTATTGCAGAAGACTGGGGAGCCATCCCTGGCAGGCTCTGTTTTGCTGGATATTGTGCTTTGGGTAGAGCAGTGTCAAGAGTCTGATTATTTCAACTCCTCCCAAGGGCACCAAGTAGGGTTGTTGCCACATAGCAGATGAGGTGGCAGTCTTGTAGGTGCCAAGTAGCAACTTGCCCAGGGTATACGGTTGATGGTGACACACCTAGGTTCCCAGCCTTGCTGATTACCAGAATCCATGTTCTCAACCACTGTATTATAGCATTTTGGGGGGATTTGAAAAGGGATTGGATTTGTACCCCAGAGGGCAGACCTTAAAACTGGCGCGAGGAAATTGTGGAAAGCTGTTGTTTTTTAGCATAAGAATCTTGAAGGTAGAGGGTGTAGCTAGGTGGTGGAGTGTATGTTTACTATATGAGCAGTTTTGGGTTCAGTACCCAGCACCAGAAAAAAACCCACACCTTGTCATGGTGGGTACAACTTCATTAAAAAGGCTGCAGCTAAAGTGCTCAGGGTTTCAGTTTGGTTGAGAATTTGAATTCAATGAAAAGACTGAGAACTGATTCTAATCAACATTGTTTATATCAGAGCTGAGGGTCGGTACACTGTGGCTGAAATTTCTTTCCTAGTTTATTTCTTAGAGAAAAAAATGTAATTCCTTTCTCTTTTGTTTGGCTTTCTGTAATTTACTGAACTCAGGCCTTGCACACGCTAAGCAAGCCCTTGGCCACTGAGCTATGCCCCAGCCCTGTAACTTATTTTTTTCAGGTGGTGAGGGAAAGCATGGAGGGGACTAAAATAACTCCTTGAATACTGCCTGGGGAAGGACAGGGCAGCATCCCCTGCTCACCCCCTCCTGCTGTTTACCCCCATCCCTCAGTCATTTCCTTGACACCACAGCACCCCCTAGTGAGCTGCTGGAGATCTGCGAGCTCAGCCAGGAGAAGATGAGCTCGGTGTTTGAGGATAGTAATGTATATATGTTGCACATGATGTACCAGGCCATGGGGGTCTGCTTGTACATGCAGGACTGGGAAGGAGCCCTGAGATACGGTCAGAAGATCATTAAGCCCTACAGGTAATTGCAGTGGCTATTTCGATTATCCTAGCATGGAGTGGGATTGGGTTGTTTCAAGGGCACAGGGTAGCTGTTTCATCTTCCTGTCCTGTGTTATAATACACCTAGAATGGCTGCTGCTTCTCTAACCACACGTAGAGGTGCAGATGCAGGTGCAGCTGCTTCACTGACCCTGGCCCGCTCCCTGCTCCTAAGGAGGCAGATTAAAGTTAGGCAGGGGAAAGAGTAAAATCCCTCTTCAGTCCCATTCAGACCTGTATTCATAATAGATAGTTGAAAGTAATATTAAAAAGTATTAAAAAGCACCAGTTTGCCTCTGTACCCCTTCCAAAGTAGATGGCCCTTATGAACTGGTAATTGTTGGTCTTCAAACTATGCTTTTTCATCACTTTTCACAACTTCTCCTCTTTTTGCGTTTTCAAGTTGCAGTCTCACTTTGTGTATGGGAAAACTGGACTAGCATGTTGTCTGTGGTCATTTAATGCCTCCCTCACAGGTTTGAAGAAAGCAAGTTGGGTTTTATTTTGTAGTAGTAATACTTAAGCCATAGGGAAATGTCCTGTCCCTAGGGGGTTATTAAACTTCAAAGTATGTGACAGATGGAAGTAGTGGCATTGTCATCTGTCTCTGACTGGGATGGGCTGGATCTGATTGCTGGAGGGCTCCCCAAAGACCTGGACATTATGCCATTTATAAGATCTGCCTAAGATCACAAAGATCAAAATCTCTGGGCATTAAACCAGGAAATCCCTGTGTCCCAAAAGCACCCCAGGTGTTTTTCATGAGTTTGAGAAGCCCTCAGTACCCACTCAAGCTGTAAGATTGGGGACTGTAAAGCTTGTGTCTGGTCTGAATTTGTACTGATTCTGCCATCCACTTACCCCACTGTGCCGTGAGTAGCCAGCAGGGGGAGCGCAAGGGGAAGCCAGTCCTTAAAGTCTTAGAAACAATTTGTTGGATTAGAAATAATCTCAGCCTTCCCTTCCTCCTGGTGTGAGTAAGAAGTCCTCTCCTCTCATGCACACCTCTTTTGAGAAAGCAACAGCAGACTTGAGATTATTCTCAGCTTTGTGATTGTTCTTCCAGCAGGGCCTTGCTGTGCTGGACCGTTTCTTAGCTTAGCCTCTCCTGGAGGCCCAGCTCTGCCCTGAGGGCTGCTGGTCCCAGGACTGCCTCCAGGCGGCAAGCTGCCTCCTACCGGGGCTTTCAGCTGGACATAGTTTCAGGGTAGACTGGGTGGAATAGACTACATGTAAATAAGCACCTCTTACACTCTGTCACCTGCAAACTGCCTCCTACGCCCTGTTCCCAGGGCAATGGCTCTTTCCTACACAGACTCCAACAGTCAGCCCTCTTCTCAAACCAGAGAGTACCTTCTGGATACAAAACCCTCTGCTGGACAATAGTGAAGGAATGCCTAGAAGAAACGGGAGGTCTTTGCTTACTCCAAAGGGCTTATAGTTTTGCTAAACTAATTTACAGAGTGCAGCAGAAAGGTGGGGTCTTAGTACACTCGCACACACAGTGTGTCTTATCTTTCTAATGGGAGAGGACAGAACCGATTGCTGCCCTCATAAATGGGACATTTAATTTAAAAAATGTTTTCCCAGAGCCTTGCTTTGGGTATACCAGGAGTAGGAAACTCTGGACCAAGATTGAATGTTGCATTCACAAATATTTTGGTGTAGAGTTTCTCTAGTGGTTTTGATGTAGCTTTTTTGAAATGCAAAAACTGCAAAAAGTGGCTAGCATCTGTGATGAGGTGGTGGTATCAACCCATCCAAGCCATGCCCATAGCCCAGCAGGATATGGAGCAATCCTCCGCCATGGAGTACTGGGTCTCAAGCTCAGGGGCCACAGGCTTCCTGTACCCACTCCATGGTCCTCTGTGCAGCGCTGACGAGGCGGCCTGTTGTCTCTCCCTTTCTTCCAGTAAGCACTATCCCTTGTACTCCCTCAACGTGGCCTCCATGTGGTTGAAGCTGGGAAGACTGTACATGGGCCTGGAAAACAAAGCTGCCGGAGAGAAAGCCCTGAAGAAGGTATGTGTGGGACTCAAGGTCAGGAGTCCAGTGGCTGGGAGGCCTCCTTAATGGAGAAGCAGCTCCTGACCACCCTTCAGCCACAGGCTCAGGGGTGTGTTCAGCGGGGCGGGGTAGGTGTACAGCAGGAGGGGCTGGCTGAGATCACAGGCCTAGCCCTGGCTGAGGAGGAGGGATACTACCCACCCCTTGGGAAGCCATGGAAGTAGAAAGGCCACCAATTGGGCCAGGAGACGGTGGCAAGGAATTCTCCATTTGTCCCTTTAGGATTCAAAATAAGATGCCTGATGATGCATTTGCAGTTTCTAAAATGCACTCCATCATCATTCTTCCAGTACCAGTTAAACACTAGGACCCTTATGTGTTATTTCTCTTTTAATTCTCACAAAAATGAGATAAGCTTTCCTGATGAAGGAAGTAAGGCTCAAGTGGCTGTAAGGAGCCTGGGTACGTGGCGGGGCCTTCCATCAAATAGGGGTCTTTTTGAGTTGAGAGCTTTAGTCCCTCCCAGTCATGCCAGGACCAGGGGTGGTAGGAGACTGGACTTGGGAGGCAGTTCCTCTTAGTGTGATGGCTCTTCTGTGCCTCCCCTTACAGTAGCTCAGAAACATACTCCTGGGTATTGATTCTCCTCGTTCTTTATGTGGAAGTTAACAGCACAGTGTAATCTGAGAAACAGTCGTTTGTTCCTTCCTGTAAGAGACTGTTTATAATTGTTGTGGTCACAAACTAGGCCTGGAGGCCTAATTCTCCACATTCCCAATGGACTATTCAGGGAAATGGGCTAAGGCCTCACATCACAAACTGAAGGGTCAGGGCACAGCCAGGACGGAACTATGAATCAAACGAAAAATTTTCTTTAGACTATGGATTTTGTCATCTTGTTTATTGACTTAACGAGGCTGAAGGAAAATTATCCAGTTAGGTCATAATTGGAAAGTGTTGACAGTTATAGAAATACCTAGAATATTGGAGCAAAAGAATTTCATGAAAACAGTTTCTCTACATCATTTCTCCAGCTACTACCCTTCATATTTTTTGCAGAATGTCTTACTCAGTCCAAAGGATAACTGTTCGATTATCATATAATCTTGTCTGGTTTTTTTGTAAGAAATAGACTGTGGAGGAGAACAAAAGCTCTGGAAGCCAGTTTGCCTTCCATCCCTTAAAGCAGAGAAGTCCTCCTCGAATTCCAGTTCCCCTGGGCGAAGGTATGAGGAACTGGCTTTGAAGCTCTCATCTATTCTTTGTCTCGCTCTTTCCTAGGCCATTGCAATCATGGAAGTAGCTCATGGCAAAGATCATCCATATATTTCTGAGATAAAACAAGAAATTGAAAGCCACTGAAATTGCATCATTTCAGTTTTCATTCAGAAACCTTAAAGGATTTGAATATTTCAGATCTTATGCACCACTCCAGCATTTCTATAAACTAATTGGAATGAGAACACTTCTTGCACTTCAACCTTGCACATGCCATACTTTGAGGGTGTTCTTGATAGTTCACCATAATATTAATTTTGAATGCTTTCTTTTTTCTAAGAGGTAATGGCATGGTTTCATATAATATATACTGTGGACACACTGAGTTTTTAAAAATGCATTTATTTTTGCCTTCATGCCTATTGTAACATCCTGAACAAATTTGACTGATGTTAAGAGAATAAAGATAGAGTACTCGAGGTTTGTGTTTGCCTCTGTCTATGGGGAGGATTTCCAAGGGTGGGAGCTTGGTCTACAGTGGAAGTGATACTTATTCTCCATTGTTCAGTGCACCTAGGTCTCCTCCCCAGAGGTGGGGTCAGGCAGCCCCTTTATTCTGTAGTTTGAATCGTCTCTCTGGTATCTTACATGCTTAGAGCATGCATTACTTTCTTGGCCTTTTTTTTTCCCCCCTTCACTGTCTGAAAGCAGTTTCCATCTCTCATTCCATTAACTGTTCTGTGCAGTACTCTCCTTTTTTGGAAAGCCTCCAGAGTAAGCTTGAGATGGAAAAAAATTTTTTTCCTTACCAACTCTGTGTTGTGAGCAAACACTGATCTCTACCCACACAGCCAGCAGGAATCCAACTTTTTGCAGCTTAAAGCCTAGACAGCAGAAACCTAGGGAATTGTTTGTTAGCAACCATGGCACTAAAGGACACAGCAAGCACTCCTAAGTACAGGGATGTTTCTCAAGAAAAGTGTCTTGGCCAGGCGCAGTGGCACATGCCTGTAATCCCAGCAGCTTGGGAGACTGAGGTAGGAAAATAATAAGTTCAAAGCCAGTCTCAGCAATTTAGCAAGATCATGTCTCAAAATAAGAACATAAAAAGGGATGGGGATATGGCTCAGTGGTTAAGCACCCTGTTCACTCCCTGATATTAGGAAGAAAAAAAAAGTGTTTTACAGCTCAAAGAGAAATACTTCCGCATCAGTTAAAAAATAAGCAAAGTCTGGTGGTGCTGACACTTGATTATCTTTCATAATCATGATCTGAATACAGTTCAAATGGTGGTAGATCTGCTATGGTTTCTTCCCTTCCTTGTCCATACAGACCTTTCAGTTTGTTGCACACAGTGGGATTTAGCAGGCAGAATGTATCCTCTTCTATGTAGTCCAGTAAGATATTTATTGAACATCTACTTATGCAAAATACTCAGTATCTCTTCAGTGCAGGTTGTGGTTCAGGGGAGTTTAGTGTTTTATGGATGCTAGTTTGCAGTCATGGAAGTAGCTCATGGCAAAATATCTGTAGATAAACCTAAAATAAGTTCACCATCTTTGACAAAGTTTCATAAAATTTATGAAATTTCTCAACAAGTAATACAAACATGAATGAAAAATGTGGACCATTCTTTCTTCCTCATCAGCTCTGTCCTGAAGGTAAGATCTCTGTAAACAGTTTGCTTTATCTGGTCTCCCTTTTTCCCATGCTTGTATAAAGCATCTAAATAAAGAGATTTAGAAAAAGGCAGCATGTGATATGATTTTGTAATCTGCTTCTCTGACTTAACATGGGCCTCTTTTCATTTCAGCACTTACAGATGTGGCTCGTTCTTGTTAGAGGCAGAACATTGCATTGAATGCAGAATCATAATTTATTTATAATTCCATTTATGGACAGGTGGTTTTGCCCAGCTTGATGCTATTACAAAATGCCACACTGAATAGTGTAGGGGGGAGGGGAATAGATTCTAGGAAATATAATTTCAGGATCAAATAACAATCTTTTTAAAAATTTATATATGGCTACATTTCCTTAAAAAAAAAAAAAAAACTTCACCAGGTATGAAACAGAATATAATTGCATTGGTTTTCCTCTCCCTCATAACATGATACCATCATTTTTTTGGCCCAATCGAATGTGTGAAATATCTTTGTTTTTTGTGCATTTATTATTATTAGTGAGGATGGGCACGTCCACATATATTTAGAGATTATTGTATTTCTTCTGTGAATTGATATTCAATTCACGGCTGAGATGTTTTTACGAAACATGTGCATGTTTTTCATTTCAGTGCTAAGGCCACCCAGAGTTAGTGGTAGACTGCATGTGTTTATGGTCTCAGTCCCACAGGGCTGTACCCACTTCTGATACCAGTCACCATGATCACTGTCCCATTTCTGTCTGACCTGGTTACAGAGTCGGGGGTCCCATACACCATTGCCCATTGTGTTCAACAATTTGCTACAATGGCTCCCCAAACTCCAGGAAATACTTTTACTTACTATTAGCAGTTAAGGCTGCAAAATGGAACAGGCAAACGAAGAGGCTGAGCACATGAGATCTGACGCCATGGAGTTGGATTGCCCTGTTATTTATCATGAAGCACGAGCCCACCTCATTATGAAGGGGTCACTGGGTTTGTGCCATGGCAGCCAATTGGATGGAAATCTGGGACACAGGGTGACAACCTTTCAATCCAGAGATGAAGTGAGCTGTTAAAAAGTCGAAAGACAAAATACAAGAATTTGGATTTTCAATAGCAGCCTGGTGCCTGCCTTTTCCACATCAACAATTTGGTGTCTGAGAAAATGACAGTGGAGGCCGAGGGGCTTGGGGTTTAATGAAGGTTATCACTGCATTTGTGAGAAAGACCATTTCCATACATTGTTCACTCCATTTGGCTAGTGATCACCACTCTGATTTCTTCTAACCAAGACTAACTTTGAAAATTTCATACACAAATCTTCATTATGATCAGATTATACAGGATAAAAGGTAGGTAGCAATAAACTGGCTTTATAAAGGCAGATTTTTCCTAGACACCTTTGCTTTGAAAAGAATCTTAGAAGTAAGGGATAGGTATATGCCTTCAACTAATGCCAACAGTGCTAAAGAGAGAAGACTGTTTTCTCTGGAAAAAAAAAAAGGTTTATTGCATATGGAAATCAATAGATATCTTTTATATATAAAAAAAGGTTAGAATAAAGATCTCACATTTGTAAAGGCACATATGAAACATGTTACAGCAATGACAAGGACAGTGAGAACATCATCTAGGACCAATATCTAAATAAGACTTTATAAAAACAGATAGAAAACAGTGCAAAAAATACTGTCAAAGTCAGTTTTATACACCCCAATTGTGTATGAAACTGGCAAGCATAAGCTTATTTACTGATATAAAATAGCACATAGAATAGCATGCATAGTTTCATTTAAGGCTTTTAATATTATTAAACTGACAGGGAGTCTACACCAAAGTACAGTTGACATGACTACAGATAAAGTCACTCCCCGACTTAGGGAATGTCCTATAAACTCCTCAGTCCGTCTCCCCGCCATAACAACTGTAGTTTGGTAGTAAAGAGACTTGGCTTTCATCTTGCCAAGTATACCAAGTGGCCTCCATGGGGAGGAGAATGTGTCCCCAGGATCCCAAGTCCCAACTTGGAATGCATTTCTCACCACAGCAACATAATAGTTCCGTGGATCCATTTGCAGGTCCGTCCATGAAACTCAACCAGTTCTGACACAGGCCTGTGTTTTGGCTGTGTTGGAAGTCAGTGGGCTTCTGTGGGCTGACCCAAGAACTTTAATAAGAACAAACTGGTTTCTAAGTTGGGGACTTTCCTGAATATCATTTCAAAACAAAACCTATTAGACATCAATTATTTTGAAGGATAGCAAAATTCACAACATTTTACAAAACAGACCAAGGAGAGCATCACAATACTGAGATCACAGAGTACAACAGTCCAGTGAAACAAAATAGATTAGGCTGTTATTTGATGTAACACTAGTTACATAAGGTTATACATTTAATAGTCATCTGCATATGTAAATCTGTTTTCCCTCCCATCCTCAACCAGGTTAGTTGACTTCTGAAGGCACAAGGGATACACAGAATCGTCTCTAATGGAGAGTGTACCTTATATGTCTGAAGGATAATGTTAAAGAATTTTAGGATTCCAAACAATGGCAAGAAAGTTCAGAAGAAACTGCAGTGAAATTTTACAGTGTTCAAGTTGGGGGTGGAGGGAATAGCTCTGAATGACAGTTTTGGTTCTATGCTGAAAGTATTTACTAGCTAACACTGCAGTTGAAGGAGGAGGTGGGAGGCCCTGAGAAATGCCGAGAATGCCAGGCGCCCCTTCCCTGAGAGTCACCTGGCTAAACTCAAAGCAGCATTCCTGAGATTTTAGCAAAAGGTTTCACCCCAAGGCACAGAAAGATCCCAATCTCAGCTTTTTTCCTCTAAACCTTTTGTCAGATGAGATGGCGTTTCTGTTTCCCTGAAGGAAGAGGTTATAAGAACTTCCACACAGACTGGATAAACCGCTTATTCTGCCCTCCTAGATGACTGAATTATTGATCACAATCTACCTTTTGATGTTCCTTGGCAGCCCAGAGACACAAATCTGCCCCCCCAGATTGGTCAGTGTGTGTAAAGGCCATGATGAAGGGAACATGGTCCGGCGCAAGAAGCTAGAAACCAATTAGACCACAGATGTCACCGCACCAATGTGAAGCTACCTAAGTTCTCCTCAAAATAAATATTAAATACCATGGCAATCATTGTCTTAGGAGTGTTACCTACTTTTGCTTTCATTCGTTCTAATAATGATAGCTGTGATCACTGAGGGAACAAAAGGGTAAATAAGGACAGCTTCCCCAAGGCTGACAGTTTTCTAAGCTACTTCTGGTTACTTTCATTTGTCAGATCCAATTCCTGGAAACAGTAAGTTTTTTGTTTTTGTTTTTGTTTTTTTTTTTTTAAAGAAAGATTAAAAGATTCCCTAGTTACATATTTTGGAGAGGTTCAAGACAATGATGATGACCAGACTAACTTCTGTAGGGGTTGCACAAATGGGGTACGGAAAGAAAAAAAGTGTGCTCAAGAGATGAACCAGGAAGCAAATGGAAAAGCATGAAGAGCCAGCAGAGCCTTGAGTGAATGAAACGCCCTAGGAATAAAGATGTGATGTAACACATGCTGCCTGAGAGATGGGAAACGAATGCAATCACTGTGTTTATATTCTACGTTTTTGTGCTCTGGTTAGATACTCGATCTATAAAGGAAAAACTTTCTGCAGCACCTGAGATCACTGGCGAGAGGAAACCTAGATGTTTGGGAGGTCTGCTCACTAACCCTGAGAGCTACGTGGCTGAGCAGAGCCCTCAGCATAAGGCTGCGAGGAAAGGAAGGGCTACCAGTGCAAGACGAAAGATGTGCTCTTGAGCAGCTAACCCAGGCACACAGCATACACGGCATCATGGTTCATGATACTCACCCAGCTGCCCCTCAGCTAGGAGGATGCAGTTGGACACTAGAAGCCAGGGTAAAACAGATCCCAGTGCTACAGCAATCTTTTCCCTGGGTGCCACTTCATAGTTTCCAACACTCTGACATTGCACAAAGCAGAGTAGGGAATAGGAGAGAGATTCCAGGGTACAAAAAATTGTGAATTAACATTTTCAGAGGAACATCAGGGCTAATCTAAAACCATTATAACTCTTCTCTCCATGTATATCTTATCTTTGGGCAAGCTTAGGGCACTAAGAATGATCCTGGTGGCCCAGAGCATGGCAGAAGGAACAGTGACTTTCTACACATATTGAGGTTGTCTTTGAGCTCCAGCTCTCCTGCTTTAAAACTCAATGTCCCTGAAATTATTTGTTAAAATGGGAAAGCTGGACAAAGCTTTGAACAGTAGGAATGAATACACATCCTTCCTTTTACTGCATCAAACAACAAATTATGCAGGCTGTGAAATCGATTGATGCCAGATACTGAATGCTAGGGTCAGGGATGTGTTAACAGGGAACTTTTTTAGTTTGATCTTGAAAAAGAAGATACAGCTATATTAAGCTGAAAAAGATAAGAAAGGTAGTCTATTGGACAAAAATGCTTACCTACCTGAGTTTCTACTGGAAATGCAAAAGCTGGATAAAGGTTGGGCAAGCTAATGGTTGAATTTCACAGAGCCCTTTGAATAAATGGCTTCTGGACAACCTGGTTTCGCAGAATTTGGTTAGTTCACTCTCACATTTCTCCCAGGCACGTTGCTGTTACTTTCTAAAGGTGTAGCAGCAAGGTATTTTTGCTCCCAAATGACTTGGAAGCTGAGGTAAAAACAAGAATCATTCTGCCCACTTTGCTTGGACATCAAGGGAAGTGTCAAAAGCAATTTAATACCTGAGAGTGTTATTTCTACCCTGTAGGACCAATTGGGATTATTTCCATCCTATAGAGTTAACTAAGTTGGTCACCCACCAAGTCTATTGGGAAATAAGCAGTTCCCATGGAAGGCCCACATTCTCCTTTGGTAAGATAGATGAATAGTTGCTCTGCTCATAAAAAGAAAGTGCCAAATAAGAGCATGATGTGTGTCTAATAAAAATCAATGGCGAAAATTAAAACATGGCAGCAGAAGAATCTTGGGTAAAATGGGAAAGCTGAATTCCCCACAAAACAACTTCTTACGTTAAGAGCCCAATAATGATTACTTGGTGTTTCTGAAAATTTCCTTCCCTGAGGAGCCCAACGGAGCTAGCATTCCTCAAACTGAGGAGGAATGGTGGATAGATTAACACCAACATGGGTCTGAACCAATCATATCCCCTGAATTTATGTTCCCTGGCATACATTCTGTCTAGAATATCCCTATACTCTTCCCCCCACCCTGCCTCCATGGATTGGCATTTCTTTACCAAATAAAAATCAATAATTATGCTTCTTCCCCCATCAAACACAGCGTTGGAAGTAAGAGTGAGATTAGATGGTACATTCTGTTTTTTGACTATGGACAGCTTTGGGACCCATGTCATGTTTTCTAATGAATGGACTGAAGAAAGCTAATACAGATCAAAGTAGTCAATATATCAAGAAAGGACAATAGTTGAAAATTCCATAAAAATGTATTTGATGGCCAACCCAGCCTGTCAGAATCAACCATGCACTATCACCTCTGCCAAAAGCCCTGGGAGACAGCCTGCTCACCTTGTAGGGGAGGATCACAGCAGCAAGGCCATGTGCTCACAAGCCAGGCTGCCCGCACACTTTTGTGTTCATTAGCGCTTCCTTAGAGAAAAGACATAAGGCATTGGGATCCACTGTATCAGGAAAGAAACAAACTGTACATAGTAGGTTGACCCATGTGAAGTTTTTATGTTCATAGAAAATAGGCTTAATTAGTGGAAATTACATATGGGTCAACCTATATTAAACTAGAAAAGGAAAAACAAAAAAGCAGTTAACTGGATAAAAATGCTGACTTACTATGCCTAGCAGAATTTGGAACTGCAAAGCAGAAGCCAAAAGAAGGCAGGATAAAGACTGAGTACGAGCCAGTAGTTGGGTCCCATAGCCTGTCTTTAGCAGAGTCCCAAAAGACCCTCCATCCAGGCTAATGGAAACTGACTCAGGTAAATAATGACTGTCGTTATAATCACAAAGTAATTTGTCTTAATCTAGAACCACAAAGGTTGGAAAAGTTGTCTCAGTTTAAGCTCCTTGAAAGTTTATTCCTCATCAATTCCCTGTGGAGATGTTTTTACCTTCCTGATTGCGTGGCTCATCTCCAAATGAGCATAGAAGCTGGTTTGTCTTTACTCTCATATAAATAAATGTCTGACATACCTCTCTAATGCAGCTAGATCCTCTTGTGTACTTTGTATCCAGGGAAAGATCTGTGTGTGTCTCCCAAGAACCCCACAAAATATAGCCCAGCAGGACACTTCACAGCATTGCCAGCAAGCTTATCTTCATCTCAAGGATGAAGACATCAAATTCAGCCCCGGGATCCAGGGACCATGCTGAACAAGGAAGATCACTTTAGGTCAACATATCTAAATGAATGCAAATGAAAGAAGCAAAATATCTCAACTGGAAAACTTCAAAACTAGAGGTTGGAAAATATTAGATAGCCTTGGTGTGAGAGGGTACCTTTTATTACCACCATTTTTAATTTTTTCCCTTCAAATCCAAACTGCAGCAATAGACCCTGACAGCTCTAGCTTCAGACTTGATACATCATCAGGAAGTCATTCCAAAAGCTCTAACTAGATAACTAATTTAATACACTTTGCTTCAAGGTTTATTCCTTGGCTTGCTTCCCAGATATAAAGCATCTCTGGGCAATTATTATGCAGATGCCACTAAAAACACTTTGAATGGCTGCTGATAATTTAACAGGAGATACACTGGCATTCACTGGAGATGTGAAGAGGAAGGCAAAATGTGCTAAAGAACCAGAAGCATTTGCTTTTAAAAATGAAATATGTGTAATAACTTTTAAATGTTTTCCTCTGGGTTTCAATATAAACTTTGGCTAGGAAGTTGGATATAAGACCTACTTCCTCTCTGCAATCTTGTGCATTAATGAATATTCTGATAGCATAACCCTTTTCAATGGGTTTCAATGAAGCCCAAAAGTGATGAGCTCAAAGAGACATCAACTTTACATGCTGCCCGCAGGAGACATTTTAACAGTATTCACATTAGGGCTTCAAGTTAAAAGATAAATACTGAAGGTATCATTGTACAATAAAATAGTAACTGAGACAGTTCTTAGAATATTCCAAGGATGAAAAATCTCTTGAGGAAAGGACGTCAATACTTTCCTGCCTGCTGATGAGCTTCTCTGTTCCATTTAAAACACATGTGGTACTAATGATTTTCTTTTCAGAACATATACCCAAACTCCACAATCTACAAAGCTCAGTTCAAGTAAAGACTCTATAACTGCATCTCACACCTTTTGTATAGAAGAAAAGAGAGGAAGTTCTCCAGATATTCTGAGTGTAACCACACCCAATACCACACTGGCCCACAGTGGAAGGAACTGGTTGGTACCTCTTCCCAATGAGTTAATGGGGAATCTGGTTTCATAGGCAGCTGTTAGTATGTGGGATGGGAGTCACAAGAGCAAGCTCTCTTTGGTCAGTGTGATGCCATTCTTTTTCTCTTTTCATTCAGGAAAAAAAAAGCAATGGAGGAAGGCAGGTAGAACACCCACCATGTTCTAAGAACAAAAACCCCAATCAAAAAGTGTGTCCAAGAAAAACTAGATATAGAAAAGGAAATTCCCCAGAATTCAGGACGATGGAAAATGTGTGATACATGATTTATTGTATAATAACCTAAGAAATTCAGAAGGATTTGGATGAATGAAGTCATAGGAAGAAACTAAAGAACCAAGCTTTAAACTGATGGTGGTTCACACCATAACTGACCAGAGAGGGGGTTACATGGAGTAAAGGGAGCAATGGGAGACTCTGAAAGACAAATTCTACCATCTCATCAGGGTGGCAAGATTTGGAATACAGGGTCCTGAGAGAGATTAACTATACTCTTGTAGGCCAAAGCCTGGAGATGATACCAGCACAGTGAGGGTCACATTGTTGGTGACTCCTGGCCAGGGCCCCTGCTAACTAAGTGCCAAACAGCTCCCAGAAATTAGTTTCGTCAATGGTTTTCTTTATAACCTTTTCCATGACTGTGATTGAGAGAAAAATGGAATGCACCCAGCACCTCAACCTGCAGGATCTTGTCCAGCACACACTTGATATTTAAATAAGAAACAATATCAAGACCCTGCCCAACTCTGTTCTTTACCCACCCTGGGCCATTATCCTCTCCCAATCAGGCAAGAGGCCGAGCTGCACAGATGGCCTGGCCCAGGGCCTCAACATCAGCAGCCTGGAGTCTGAGAAAACAGAGAGATGCAGCAGATATACAGGGTGCAGTCCCAGCAGGAAGATAGGCTCCAGAG